TCGCTTGGACTCCGACTCAAGAGTGATGTGTTATCTGTTGCTATCTCTCTGTACCAACCTGCTGCTGAGAATGTCGTCAATCGAACCGTCTGTGGCGGAGCGGGGCCACTCCGTGCTGTGGAGACGAAGAGACCGCATAGTGGAGACGTTGTGACTGGAGTTCACATAGCGAGCCGAGCACGCCCATCACTCACCCATCAACTCCCGGTACACATCGTGTATCGATGTCACATACCAGTATTACTGGAGATTAACATCTCATAGACGGTGAAGGTGGCCAAATTGGTAAGTTCTTTCAATCATCATCATCATCATCATCGTCGTCGTCGTCGTCGTCGTCATCATCATCATTAACAACATAAAAACATCATCATCATCTCATCATCATCGTCGTCGTCGTCGTCGCCATTATCATCAGCAACATAAAAACGTCGTCGTCGTCATCATCATCATCATCATCATCATCATCATCATCATCATCATCATCATCATCATCATCATCATCATCGTTATCATCATCATCAACAACATAAAAACATCATCATCATCATCATCATCATCATCATCATCATCATCATCAGATAACATCTATTTATTTGTTTCCTGTTTCACGCTTGAAAATATCAGGATGGGTTAGGTAAACAATTTGATTTATGAATTTTCATACCAAGTCAATATAGAAGGATGACATTCCTAAAACAAAAAGTTCACGAAAAATATGGTCGATAGGATAACAGAAAACAAACGACATCAATGTTGAAATCCGGGGAATCAATATACCTTTATCCTCCGCGCTAGCCATAGTGAGCGATAATTATGAAGATGTAGTTAAATTCACTGCGCATGTTCCGTGTTGGAACCCTCAATACACTTGATAGGACAAAATTTATGATGATGGTTTCATAATCAAGACGAAACCTGACGACAGGATATCTCATTTCCGACCTGAATGAAATAACTCGTATCTCTGTCACGATGTCGAGTGTTGGCCCGTGTGCTCATCACTCCGAGGTGTGTTTATGTAGGCCTGTTTATTATTCTGCCATGGGAGATATATAGTATATATTTTCAATATGATTTAATGTTTCTTCTCTATATACAAGTAACTTTTTTTTTTAATTGTTAGTGTTTGGAAATTTTCATCATCGCTAACGTCATGTATATACTTCAATGGTGATTTATCTAAGGAGAAAATAGACATATGTAGTCAAAGATATAATCTTAATAACTTTCCATGTTTATCATTTATTTAACGTGGAGGTATTCCGAACGAATATCGTGTATGTACCTTTGGTTTAAGTTAACACAGCCGGAGCTCGGTACTAGGACATCCTGTTACATTCAACAGCATTCTCGGTCTCCATCGCATTATCGCTATACACTAAAGAGTGAAACAAAGGGAAATAACTCTGGAAAATCAGAATGATTAAACATATTGTTACCTCATAACTACCGGACAAAAACAGCGTACTTTGATTTGCTGCGTAATTCACGATTGACAATTGACTTTCATTACTAATTGTTTTGGGAAAACTGTATCGTATAATCACAGTTAAACAACATAATTCTCAAGATTATGGACCTTCATGTGCTATTGTAGTGTTTTTGGGCAAGGCATTGTACCTAAAATGAGCTTGATAACATGCGATGGTCTCCCGCATGATGATCAGTAAGGAAACGATCAAACACTGCAAGGGGAGACCTCCACATCGGAATCAATGTGGATTTTGACGCATAACCCTGCATAACAAGAAACAATATTTTCGATATATCGATGTTCGTAATAACTTGTCGACAATTACACCATGAAAAATCGTGCATAAATCTGAAATACTTTTTATTAGTGTTTGTCTAGAAAAATTGTCAACTAGAAAGGCTGTCTTATACGGCGTCATATTTAGTCTTAATTCTTGTACAAGCATTTGGACACTGGCAATGTTGTAGCCACCAACACGATACGTTTTCAAAGGTCTCTCCTGTCATGGACACAGATCTCTACAATATACCAGAAAACAGTCCCAGATTACAAGAACGGGAAGTTTTTGACTCATAATTGTATTTACAGCGATTTGATTATGTTTAATGAAGATAGAGAATACGGAATGGAGCCGGAAAATTCTCAACGATGTTTGATCAACTTATTGCTTCTTCTTGGCTCAAACTCGTTACAAAATGCCGTAAACATACCTGTTCAGACTTTTATCACTTGGACTGGGAGAAAGAAATCAATCTCTGAAAATGTATCACTCCGTCATATGTTCGGTAACATTAATTCTGTAACTGACGGCAACCTCCTTTCAGTAAAAGCTCAGTGAATCTTTTTCGTTAATTTTCAGTGATGGAAGTTGTTTTCTTTATGCCTTTCACATGAACTTCAGTCGACTTTTACACACATTTTCTATCTAATTTATAGCACCAATTAATTCAAATATAACAACCTCGCTGCTATCTCGTGCGAGATAGAAGTGAAGAGCAGGACCGAGCAGTATCAATGCTGTTATATGGGCACAGATCCGAGAGGGGTTTTTTATAGTCAATAATATGCTTGACAACCGAACTTGTGACAATTACTGGCACTGAAAAGGTTTCTCCACGGTAACTGGCTACTAATGTTTGATTTCCACGACAAGAACCACATTCGAACACAAAAATAACGAAAAGAAATGAACCCTTTGGAATTGTATGACTGCGAATGTTGTATATCTGGAAGAGATAAAATAAAAAGAAGTTTATCTGTAGGTATTCGACTGTTTCTTGATAGCACTAGGCACGTAGTTAAAGGGATATCCGTGTTGTGCCTCCCAACCATCTAAACGTCAGTAAGGTACATATCAAAATGGAAATTATTACCAAAACTAGATAACACATGCACGTGGATTTCTATCCCATTGCACTCAATGTAAAATGGTTCATGTTTACTACGAAACGCATAAATGTCTTATCTTTTATTTTTCTTAGTTTATCGCCCTTTGAACAGCTAGGATCATTTTATGGCGAATTCTCTTTGTGGATATCTCATTAAACAACATACGGAAGGCCCGTCGCATGTTATCTAGGGAAATTAGGGTAAAGCTTCCCGCACGAGGAAACAACCGCTTCAGCACGGACCGGTCAGTTTCTCAGCTTCCTAAAAAACACAAACGGACACAGATAAGGACTAATCACCTCTGATTTTATAAATCGCATTGTATCATTGAAAATAAAATCCGTACTTTGAATTTTACAACCGGTCATACTATAATTGAAATCAAAATAATTCCTCTGTAGATGGCTCGGTCAGCAGAGCATCCGACAAATACAACTTAATATTAAAATGAAAGTGTATGGTTCGATTCTTATCCAGGTCGGTGTATTTCTCAAGATGCTGATATAACGGAACTCCCTGTGCTTTAACGGTTGTTTCGGTGGGCGTGACACTATCAATAATTACTCAAGATAATATGCAGCGGTCTTCCGTATGATGTTCGGTGAAGTAGTTACCAGGTGCTACAAGGAAACTCCATCTCTTAATGACCTTGGCTGGTGATATAACGATAATCATCCTATCGCCGATCCATACCTATTGATCGTTCCGAGAAACAACGTTTAAACACTTATGGTGTTTGTCAATGACGTCAGTTGAGATGCTTTGAATCTCACGATTGCCACCAAACGCAAATGCCTAATTTCCGTAAGTAATGTTCATTTAAACTATGAGAGTTTGTGCGTCAGTACTATTTTTTTGTCTGCTTTTTTTCTTGAAAATATTCAGATTTTTTATGCCAAAGTGATTATAAACACAGAAATAGAACCGACATGCTTTTTCAGTTTGGAAATTAACAGCCAGAGATATATAACTAGACTGGTCAGCGTAAAAACGTGTCTGCGGCTGTCTTAAGGAATCAGTGGGCGCTATTTTACGGCGTATTTACTATTAACGGATACGTATGTTAATTGAATTGTGAAACGGTGTGTTCGTCTCTGAGAGTGCCGATCTTTTTTGGCATAATCTTATATATATCTACCAAATTTAAAACTGCCAAAACCCATGTTCATTCTACATATAATGAAATTCATCTTGACATTTTATGGCATAAATAGATTTTCCTACAAAGCGTAATAAATAGTCCGTTGGCTGCGTATCGAACCTGCCGTGAAATGTCCTTGGTGTGTTGGGCATTGCTCGCGGATTGATGGTCGTCAGTAACATCTAACATATGATTTATGGGGAGAACCCTCTAGTTCCGCTGTTGATATTCCGCGAGCACTAACGCCCCCACCAGCTAACATGGGATGTTCACACCGTTGAGTTGTGGGTTTATCTTGACTTCATCTGTGCTACAGGCTTGTTGGGATGACATTTAAGAATCTGAGTATTACGACAAATGTCTACCAACTGCGCGTTCTTCAGGGTAGGAATGACAATATCCGGTTCCGGTTATATTTAATTTTGCGACGAGAAATGCAATCTGACAATTTTAGTGTGAAAAATTATTTAAAGATTCCAAAATTTCGCAAGCAAAATGTTTCGTTTCAAATGAACAGGCATGAGAGTGTGATACATAAATGCATAGTCATCTTTGCAGTTGTAATCATTTCACCTACATAAACTATTCTTAAGATTTATATAACTGAAGTTTAAACTAATAAAATACTAGTGCATATACAGATAGACATTACGGTCTGAGGTGATCCGATTTATGTCCAAGTTTTCAATTTAACGGGCGTTGCGTGGAAGCGAGAACGAGTCCCGTTCATACCCACAGCCCGTACATAAAGTAATCATGACGATTTCACGTGAAAAAAATCGATCTAGATGAACAGTGTCTTTTATAATTAAGAAGCAAACGTGACAAGCCCCACGAAGAGCTTTATACTGCTAACGAAATATTCTGACAGTTTACGCAGGCGGGTTCGTTTCCACTCGCTCCGCCTCAAAACAGTGTCATTTAGAAGCTGTAACCAGCGTCACAAGTACGTTTGATATTACGTGAGGATCAATAGGGTTTTGTAAGTCTTAAGTGGCCAGCCGTGTTAGACAGATGATCATTGAGCGTGTGATATGTACGGGTAGGTGTTACGCAGTTTGACCAGAGACAGGCGCCGAAACGTGCTAATCTGTAAGGAAATGAGTGTTTACACTTAAGTGATAATCACAACGTGCTACATCAGCCGCCAATACTAGTGCTGGAGTATTATTGCACTGTAGGTACGCGGTGTGATGTTGATTCTCAATTTCTCAGGCAGTACGCACGCTGCCATTAAAACAAACAATGAAATTGACATCATAGACATTTTTCTCCCGCGGGTCGTGGTCAGTTCACGTGTTTCCGTGTGAGCTAAATTATTGTTGTGCTTCGGTGGTTTAAGTTCACCTATAAAATTAAAAAAAAAAACAATCAAACAAGTGGAACGTATCGTGAATGGTCAGGATATATACACTTTGAAACCATAGATGCAAACAATTAAACATTTTTGTGAAATACTTGAAGGAAATTTAAAACCGTGCAAATATTCTTCTTTGGTAAGTATGCGTTTTTTTTCTGTTTCCAAACCTTACTCTATAAGTCTTAATTTTATAAGCCTTACGAGTTTGTTTTAAGAGGCACGTAGAACATCCCTAATTTAACATGTTTGCATTTTTTAAAAATGATGTTGCAATGCACACGTGATGTGGCGAGATTAGGAAGGAGAATGAGAAATGAGGTAATGGCCAAGTCTGACCAGGCGGAAGCTCCAGCACCTGTTTAGCTGGGCAACGCCTTAGTAATATCGCCCTTGTATACAACTATCAATCTGTGGAATCTGACACTTAAGCATGGCAGACTTACCTGGTCGAATTTGCCATAAAATTGAAATAAGCACTAACCCGGAAATGGAAAACATCTGTGGACTACGATTGCCATCTTATATCTACCGTAATATTAGCTTTTTTGTGGTTTTGATTAAACACGGGGATTAGATGAGTGAGGGAGCGCGTGGTGTTTATTGTGAAATGACATTGGCAGGCCGGGTTTAAATCTGTCGGATGGGAAACCTGAGCTATCATGTACATGAAACATTCCCGTTTACTGTCCAGAGTAATTACTGTTGTGGTTGTCGGAGTATTCTCCATGCATACACATGTGTTATTTAGAAATACAGACGGACTGACGGACAGATGAGTGTACATAGGTAATTCATACTTATTATTGTGGACGAACAGACAGATACTGTACAATATGCAGACGAGGACAGATACTTCATGGATTTATGAACGGTTCGAAACATTTGCATCATGCAGTACAGGACGGACGGCGGTTGGATACTACATATTTAGTCATTGACATTATACAGACAGATAAACGGACAGATAGACATACACATGAGCCGAACGAGAATAATTACAAAAGACAGGCGGACAATATATTTACAGAAACGCACATAAACACGTACACTTAACAAATACTACGACGTATATTTACATGCATAGCATGTCTTAGCGTTTGGCGTGATATGGTATATTTATAACTGTCAACAGATTTTTCTGTACGGAGAAGTACTTAATGACCTATTGACTGAATGTTTGTCTCACAAATAAGAACTATCGTCAATGTCCTTTTGGCCCACGCGTGCATTGCTTGTATTATAAGTTTTAATTTTGTCGTTATCATATTACGATTTTAGACAGTTATATCGAAATATCTTTACCAAAGTTTGGTATTTATGTTATTGCGAAATTCCATACTCAGTTAATATAATAACTTCGTGTACGGTACAAAGTTTATACATGCGATACACGTGGGGATGTGGTGCAATTATTTTACAGAGGCCTGAGGAATTTCCAGCTCTGTATTTGATATCAGTACACGTTTCCGACGGTTCGATCGAGACATCTAGCATCTGTTTGTGTGCAGTAATATTTATGAGAGTTGACATCACGCGCACAACGAGAGCTGCTATACTTGCATTTTCAAAGTAGCGCAACCCCGAGATGGCATGGAGATCTACTTTTGCGTTGCAGATGCTCCATCTTACAATAAGTCTTTCCAGTTATTTAATCACACAAACCTTCTCAAGATAATTTTTGCCATGTCCGGAGTTACATTTTGTTTTTGTTTTGTTTTTTCAGACGGGCCCGTTCTTCTGTCACATTGTCTTTGAACTTGCATATTGATTAACAAAGTTCCCCTGGCTATAGACACCGTGTCTACAAATTCACATTTTGTTTTACAGATGACCCTGTAACTATCGACGTCATGGATATTTGCAGTCTCATCGTAACGATGTCCTTGATGGCAGAGTCCCTTTTTGTTCACTGCTACATCGATGACGAAAAACCATTGACCAACAACATATTTCCCGAGAGACAAAGAATACCATCTTTGGACATGTTTCCAGAACAACACACCAGTCCCTCGCCCTCGGACGATCCGAAACCATTTCGGCAATTTCCGCCATTTAGCAATCAATATAGACCAAGGAAAAAAGATCTCAAGACAAAGAAATTGTTGAAAAAACTCGGTAAAGGATTTTTGCCATTTTGGATGTCAATTGAGTCGCCATTAGGTACTTCTTCTGAAATTGAGTATGTGACATTATCTAACCCAGAGGAGAGCATTATAGACGGTCGACTAGCAGAGGAATTCGATAATGTAAACTTTACATTTACAAACAGGAACGGGTTAGTGGTGGACGTAGGGGAGGAAAATATTCAACTTTTCAAACGTTGGCTTCTCGCGCATGGCACGTGCCAGGTCAAATATGAATGGGAAGATCAGGGTCCGCTGTTTTGGCCAAGGTGGTTAAAAAAGGGAACATGCTCCAATGAGGTGTCATGCTCTTGGCCAATCGGGATGCACTGTGTTCCCAAAGAAAGTAAAATAGTACAGTTACTCCGGTGGAATTGTCGCATGAGGCGGCCTAGAAAAAACTCCTGGCGGAGGCATATGAACCAAATTTTGAGTGGTGCAGTATCGAGAAAAAGGAAACATCGTAAAAAGCGGATGAGATGCCGATGGACTAAGGTACAACTCCCGGTCACAGACGAATGTTTCTGTTCGTGTTAAGTCCTAGTATGTTTAGTGACATAGATATATACATATTGTATAACACGTGGTTTTGGGACACATTTAAACACGTAGAGCAGGGGTCAACTTCCGGCAGTCCAATTTATCGGACTAATATATATAATAAGTTGACAGTTTGAAGATTAAGATTATCATCATATGTATATACCAGCATTGACGCGAATCTCTTGACCATCACGTTGGTCATCATTGTCAGGTGGGCTGAAAAGTATGTCGGGCAAAAATTGGATTGGGAAGTGTTCTCCTCGAGACGATTTCCGGATAACAAATCACAAATATCGCTGTTATTTAATTTGTTTTTCTAACATAAGAAAACTAATGTAAAGTATCGATAAACAGAAGAGTGTGTTTAGTTTATCAGGATCTTCAAAGCTCTTGTTAAACATCAAACGAAACACTCAACTTCCCTCTATCAAATAAACCGTGCATCATCGAAACGACAGCAGACAGCACTGTCAACTTCAGAAGGATTTAAGAACGCGTTGAATTCTCTTTGCTACACGTGTTTCATTTACAAATTCTACATCTTTAATGACATCTGACGTCAGATAGCTAACATGAATTTATAACTGCAAGTACGAGTGTTGCAGATTAGCGGGCAACGAGTGCAATCACGATTGTTCTTTGTGTATATTATGTGTGGGTTTTTTTCATAATTGATTATCTTTCATATTTTGATGCTCTGTTCGTTTTCCGAATTTCGGACCGAATAATAACGGAAAAACCCGACGTCGAAACCGAAATAACAATGCGCCGCTTACAATTACCATAACGTATCTTTCAAATACTTACCACGATAAAGTTAATAACTGTCTACTACACATAATAACATGGCCTGTGATAGTCTTATGATTCAATATTGATGTTTATTTTCAAAAATATCTCGGAACATAAGAACTCCCAAAAAGGACATTACTAATGTATGGTTTGCTAAGGATGACACCGGCAAAGGGCATTTTTCATACCGTTGGGTTTAGTCGTGCTGTTAAGTGTTCTAACATCTGGTTTCCGATAACTCGTAACATAAGAATTCCCAAAAAGGACATTACTAATGTATGGTTTGCTAAGGATGACACCGGTAAAGGGCATTTTTCATACCGTTGGGTTTAGTCGTGCTGTTCAGTGTTCTAACATCTGGTTTCCGATAACTCCGGTGTAAGATGGAAAAATCTACCAGCGGAGAAAATGTACCAGGAATCATTGAAATCCATCTGATCACTAGACGCCGCGGCCACCATCATACTTTATGTAAAAAGAAAAAAAAAACGGAAAAAATACTTGCCGGGTTTTGTGTACCCGGGGAAAATATATTAGGTTTATGGGTGATTACTAGACTTTGAAAATGTTCAATAGGTATTTTGATTAGTAATATCATATGTGAATTTGTGTATTTGTTTGATTTCCGATGGTTTTGTGATGTCACAATTAATTCGATTATGACGTAATACATCAATCGTCTTTAGCTATATTACAACACTTTGAATGTACATTTTCGAGAAGACTTTTGTCGCTAAAATTATTAATAAATAATGGATGTTTTATATGTGGTTATATCTCAGCTGTCTTTTTAAAGGTTTTTCTTTAAATGAGGACCAGTATCGGTGAGGGAAATCTCCAATGTTCACGTGAACTGCTGAATAGTTGCGCGTGATGAACCGGAAGAAGCTACAAGGTACAAGGTTCTGTAGGAGTGAAAATATATTGTATTTTGTCAACGGGAATATGTTTTGCGTGCATATACTAGGCGATGCGACTGAATCCAAAAAGTCACGCTCCATGGTTATTATTTTACATATATAACAAAAAATCCTACGCTGTGCATGACAGATCACTTTGCAATGTCAGCAAAGTGGGTGTGATTTAAAAATTAATAAACTTTGGTCTTAATGCGGCAGAAAACAAATCTGTGTCAAAGCTGATGATATTAACTGAAACTTGAATGTCTAAAGAACATATAAAAAGCATGATATATACATCTTCACTTGAAGAATTTGTAATTGGGGTGCACTCTAATAGCAGGGAAAAGATAATGAAAACAGATATTCAGTCACTTTCAAATCTCTTTTCTCATATTTTATAAAAAAAAAACTTTCGAAATCGTTAAATACAAAGTCTTCATAATGTGCAATACCTAGTACGCTGTACTTGGCAATACTTTTGTCTGGATACAAAATTCTGTAAACATCAGGGAAAAATTTAACTTATTTAAAGTCTGAATCCACATTTTATCTGTCTTTTGGTGTTAATATTGTCTGGGTTGTTTTGGAATTTAGTAGCCGATATCTACAATGTTTAGTCGATATGTTTGGCAGTCCATGGTATGCTTTTTCTGTTGACAACGTCTTGTTTCCGACGCTGCCGCGACAGTTGCAATGTCTGCTGCCAACAGGAGGCAGACAGAGGGATCGGGAATGCAATGTATTGGCACGTTGGGATTGAAAACAATAAACTCAACATTAAGACATACATCTAAACCATAAAAATAAGATACTTACCACAAATAGATATTGATATCATGCGGCGAGCGTCACGCATGATGTTCAGTGAGTCACCAACTACTGTAAGGCGACCCTACCGTTAGACTTATCTCTGACTTTACAGCAAAGCAATCACCAATCATTCGTTAAGATATTGAAATGAATATTATCGTAGTTTTTGATAAACATATTAAAATATCTCAAATAACGAGAAGATCGAATTTTTATGTGTCCATATCGAGGAAGGTGTTAACCTAATTGTTTGTCGAGTTGGCAGAGGTTCGGGACATTACAGAACACGATATTCAAAGAAAAAATTAAATCGATATTGCATAGGACGAGCAAACTATGTAAGCATTTCACGATTTGTTGACATTTCTGAAAGACAGTTTGATTACCGATAGACCTGCACATCACTGAAATGCTTGAAACGATGTCTGTATACTATCAACACTTGTACACCTCTGCCAACGCTTGTCTGATGATGACACAACTGATGTCCGTCTCAAGGGCCTCTCCAATATCCAACAAGAATTCTTGTCGATTCCGCTAAACAAGTACGCCCGTTATCATTCTTCTGCGTGTGCGAGTGCACCAAGGACGATTTTCGCGCCTTCTCGGGATCGTTATCAAAAATGGGTTTGTATAATAAGCGAAATATTTACTCTCGCATAAAACTCGGCGGGACCAGCAAAATTATCTCCCCTTACTTACTGAGCGTAATCAGCATCATGCCAGCATGCCAATGGAGATTTCATTAGAAAATTAATTTACGAGTTTCAAAGTTGGCAAATGTATAAGATTTATAATAGGAAAGTTTAAGGTGCAATCGTTACATATATCAAATGAATTCTCGCCCCATTCTCATATTCTTATCCTAAAAACATATGTCGACGTACAACCCTTTAAGATAAAACACTGGGACTAGTCACAATTAATTTACTCGTTAGTTCTGTCTACGTTATATGTATATTTGTATCCAAATCAAGGAGAAATAAATAGTGTTTATGACACGAATAGGCGAGAAATTATCATAGAATATGCACACAAGAGAATATATGTCTTGGTAAGTCGTATTCTAAAACTCCAAAATACCAAAATATATTAGCATAAAAAAAGAGAGAAAAGTTTAAAACACAGCACAGACTTGAGCTACTTAATGCATTGTGTTATGAAGAACTTGTACAGGCGAGCAGGAATGTCTGCGCGTTCATGCTCATCACTTGCGTCAAATTAAATTGGACACTTGGGTTAAATCAAGTGTTCCTGTTTCATCTTGTAATGAATACTGAAGTAGTCGAATTGTCTTTAGTTACTATTGTGATGGATTTTAAAACAGACGTATAGAACAATGTAGTTTATCATCTTCATGATGTTTTTATTGTGTACAAAGTGTAGATTTGTGTATCGGCAAGAAATGCGTAACCCGTTTAAAGAATTGTCTAGTGGTGAAGACCTAAGTGTGATGATTATTCTAACTTTCTTGTACAGCATGCAGAGTGTATACGCAAGGCCGATTTAAAATTGGTAAAAAACAAACAAACAACAAAAACAAATTAAAGATAAAACAAAAACCTAAAGAAGGTGATTAACTGGAAACATTCAAGGGGGGTTTAATTAAATTGATAATTTTGGTTTTTGCCTACGTGGCAGAAAACGATTACGGGATGACGCAGTTTCCGTCATCTGTTTGTTAACATTTGCTTTAAAAAGCTTAATTACTTCTCCTGAGAAGCCTCTCATATTGTCGCCAAACGTTTGAATTGGTGTTACATTAGGACAGAGTGTTGGGGTCATGCAGTGCTAATGAAGAACCATAGTTATTTGCTCCCATTCGTTTTAGCATTGGGACTTCTATCTTCTACAAGGAAAATGTTTTCCAGATGTCCCAGGTTCGATTCTTATCGGATGCATAAATTCAAATATTAAAAACTATATTTGAAAATATTTGAAAAGAAACATATAATATGTTCTGGCTTTTAAAAATATTTCGTTTATCTCCGTTAAAACGTTTTTTTAAGTAAACAGTGACGTCATAGTGACGTCACGGATCAAAGGTGATGTTTTTTCATATAGATCAACATACACAGCTGTATCCGGAGTACACTACAGACAATAGCCTTATTTAAAATAGGAGGATTTAAATTGTTGACATACACTACCCGAGATGGTCGAGAATCTAAATATTGACAAACATGCCACGTACAGACGCCAGAATCACGGTTACTGCTTTGGGTTATACCGATACACTCCTGGATTTTAGATATATCGTATGACGTGTTAGTTTACCACCGTACACGTGCGAAATCTGTAATGCATGTGTATTCATAATACATGCATCTATATGATTTTAAACAAAGCACACCTGAACCACCTTTCCACGTATATTGAAACTTTTTTCTCTGTTACCATCGCGTGGTGGTCGGGGGCGCAGTGGTAATGCAGTCATCTTTCACCTAGCCCTCCGGAGTTAGATCTCCGGAATGTACGTGAAAAGTATGAGGCCACCTGCCAGTCCACGTGGGCTTTCCCTGGATACTCCGGTTTCCGCCCATACATTGGCGTTCGTCCGTGAGACGATAACCCGGACACGTGAGGAGACACGGAAACTTGCCAATCAATCAATCAATCAATCAAACGATGGGAGTTCTCCCCGGGTACTCACACGGTTTCCTCCCACAGTGAGACCCCCCCCCCGAGTGCTAATAGACGCTGATATCTTGTTTCACAATTGTTGTAAAATAAAAATGAAATATACATTTATGATATTTATCTGTATATATAGTTACGTGCATGGTCTTCTCAGTAATTAAACATGGCTTAAATGTGATTAGAGGTGTAAGATATTTAGATGTAATGGTAGATTATATATGTATTTGCAAATTAAAATTCAATTTGATAATTTGTTCTTGAGATTATTTTGTTGTCGTTTCGTTGTCAATGAGGCTCAAGAGACACCATCTATCGTTTTTCAGTGAAATATGTCCGCTGTTTTACAGAAATATGTAGTGATCAAATGCCAATATAACGATTGTTATGCTATTGTGCAACAAGCGACGTGTAGTAGCCCCTATGTAAATACACTTCGATGCACGCGCACAGAACATACTTATGAAAAATAATCAATCTGGAGCTATGGAGTTATGTTGCATCTGTAAAATACTGATATGTAAAGATTGTATACAAGTGGAAAGAATTCGCCTCCAAACATATATAAAAAAATATTTACTTGAATGATATGTTTCTAGCTTATTATTGTTTAAAGAAATTTAAAAAAAAAATACTGCACATACACCTGTTAATATTCATACACGTACAATATGAAACAGACATGTTAGTTTACAGCACAATAAATACACAACATCAACACACTTTTTCTTGGTGAATTTAGTATGTTTGATATATGTATACGTTAAAAAACTCCACCGGATACCAACACACCCTAGACCTAACAAGTTCTTCGTAATATGTGGGATATTTGTGTTAAATCCATGCAGAATGCTACATGTATATTGTGTATTTACTACTGCTCACGTGCCGGAACGTGCATACGCTCAACAATCTGTTAATACACGTGTAAACACCAGAAATATCTTATGTGGCAGATGCATAAACTTTGTCAACATAGGCATAGATCAGGAAGGCAGACGCCTGTATGTGACAGAGCACGTGTATAATAACATGTTCTTCACGGTTCTAGTCAATGTTACAAAACGAACAAAAAATGATCGATGTTTTTTTTAACTTTAGCTGATTTCTTCTCTATGTCGCGTAAGAGTTGTGTCCCTTTACTCGGAACTGTTTCAAGGGGAAGAAAAGGGAGCTGGTTTGATCAATTTAATGGAACACGCCTTTACGTGTTTTACCAACTTTCTTCCAATAATAAATCGTAATACGAAATTAAGATACACTTATAAGGAGACGGTGGCCTCTATTATATCAAGTGTATCATTGTGGGTAGGAAAAACGATCATGTCATATCATCATACATATTGGACCACAAAACCTTCCGCAACGTATAACTGTGAAAACAGAAAAAATCTACATGTATTTCAAAATGTCTG